ACAAAGCAGCAGCTCTCATTTACAGTCGTCTCGTTCAGCTTGGTACTTTTCTCCTTTCAGTAGGGTTGTTTACAGCACACGCGATTTCCAGTTAGCTTCTTAGCTTAGCCTCCTTCACAGCGACAACACACACACTTCAACAGAGGCCACGCCTCCAGCAAGAATCACTTCTCTATAGCAGCGAGTCCAGACCCTCGTACGAAGCAAAGTGAAGGACAAGGGTTTGGTTTTTACCAAGCTAGTCTTCAACCAAAATATTACATAAACCACTGAACAAATTTTAACAAGACTTTCAGAAAGTAATTATTGGATGCATTCATAATAATTCAGGAATATAAATCTAATCTWGAGTCAAGTTAAAATGTTTCCTCTTATCCTGTCTTCTGGATGAGGGGAAACATTTTAACTTTAACATTTAACTTTTGGATTCAGACAAATTCAAGATGGCTACCACAGTCAACCGACTTTAAAACATTTCAATATCTATAACTCAGTCAGTTTTACAGATACTGATGTAAAATTTAGTGAGGTAATAGCAGACTGATTCTCAACATATTATTTGAACATTAACATCCATCCGTTATCTTCCGTTTTACTCGAAGTCGAGTCGCGGGTGCAGTAGCTTGAGCAGGGAAGATGAACATTAACAGATCATTGCCTAAATGTGTGCCGTTGGGGAGTGATGTCATCCTATCTGGTAGCAAAATGCAGATCTCGTAATCCACTTAAAGGAGTTTGATAAAACCTTCAACAACAAAACTATTCGATAAGCTGTGTAACTTTCAGAATTCATCCATTTAGGATGTCCACGACAACCAAATGACTTTATAAAACTTTATACAAAAATAGACATAATTCATTCTATCTTAAAACTACTATTATATGTGTTGTGGTTGTAAAAACACATAATCTAAGAGCTGCTATTAGTACAGAATCTTTAATGAATATTGGAATCAAATCTGTTTGTCTATTAGTGTGATATTTCACCAACCAATGGTTGGACATTGGCTAATATCAAATTAGCTATAATTCACTCAGTGTTGCTGCTGAGCTAAAAGTAAAAAGAGATGTCATCAACCCATGTTCTATAGTATTTAATATCAGATGGAGTTTACAATGTTTTTAAACAATTTTTTTCTGCTTTCTTTTCCAACAACTGAATTTGATTTTCTTTTAATGCGATGAGGTTGAGTTCCAAGTATAGCAGATGGCTGCTGAATGTCATCTCTGTGGTATTTTATTGATTCAGACAAAAAGGGAAATGTCAAAGAGAATTACAGAATACTGATTTTATTAATTTTTCTCAACAGGAAGCAACCATACCAACCACCAGTGTTGACCTTGTGTTTGGCTCTTCTGTCCCTCGTCTTCTCTCCGTCTCTGGGCCGTAAGTCAGCGTCAAAGAGTCGAACATTGTAGCAACAGCAACGGTTAAAGTACTGACATTATCTCAAATTGATATTCACTTTGCATGGGGGGGGG